GTAGTTGTCAAGGTGGGTTGGCAACCACAGTTAGGCTTTGATGTTTTAAGTGGGATACTGCTGCCCAATCCTCGACCATTAAGTTCCCTTAGTCGCCTCTTACGACACCCACGGGAAAGGAAGTAGTTCATTCTATGTCGTGACTATACGACTGCGGCGACAGAATATAGATAGGGGTAAATATGCTTTTTATTTTGCAGGATTTTTTATGCACCTTAGAATGGCAAACAAGTTGACGGGCCACCTAATGGAAAGTGGTTACCGATGCCTATAGACAAATAAATAATAATAAATATAAGTGGCGACTAAGCAAAATACATACATTGCTACGCGATGTTATGTTTTTTTTTTAGTAGAATGAAAATGGAATGGTAACCCCGCTTGCGCTGTTTGTATATGCTGGTGAGGCGCCAGTCAGGGTTGTTAGCTGAGGATGAAGTCAGGATCCATGATGGTTTTCAGGGAGGACTATGTGTTAGTCAACCCAAGAGAGTATATTGCTATTAATGGAGCCGTTAAACTCAATTACTAACAACCTAACGACCTCTTCCCGGTGTACTATATCTAATATAATACCCCGGGAATAATATAATACATCGGGCAAATCATAAAATCAGCCAACTTTTATTGCATTTTGTTGCCCTATTTGTATATTAGAGGGAAAATGTATCAACCTAATAGTTCTTATAGCCAATTCTTATTGTTAAGATGACCACCAGTAGGTATAGTGGTTTAACTGATGGTTGTGGGCTCGATTCCTGCATCGAGTAGACAATAAATCTATCATTTACAAAAAAAAAAAAAATAATAATAAAAAAGTTAGTTCATAAATCTGTGCCTCTAGTGAGAAAGGGTATAACTCAAGTTATAGCCTTTTTCTTTTTTAGGCTACTTTAAATAAGCAAATTTTTCTCTTTCGAATGGTATAAGAATCGTAACGATATCTTTAAAAACAATAGAGATAGTAAACATGTAAAAGGCTACAATTAACAAAATATTTGTGGTAAAAAAGTCATAATTAGAAATAAAACTACAATATTTTACAAAAATAGTGCCAAAAATGACAAGATACTTAGAACCACCCTTTAAATATGAATTTATTTTTGTGTAAAATGAATCAGTTCGATTTGAACCCTTTTACACCATTTAATAGCAATTCTTTTTTTATAGCGTAAAATACACAATATTATTTTTCTTCAATACATCAATAAAATAGTTTTAATTCAACTTAAAACTATTTTCACATGATAATTTTAATATTTTTGTTAAGTGTGATTAGGTATAATAGAATTATTTTTAAAACTATAGGTTTTACACAAAAACCGACAATTTCATAAGAAAGAGGAGAAAAAATTACTATAAATGCAATCATTTACTTGTTCAATTAGCAAATAATAAAAGCAGCAAAATTTATTTTCTTTATTTAAAATAGTTTTTTGGCTCTCCTGAAAAGTGGCCATTTTGAATTGAACCTTTTCTCACTAGAGGCACAGAAATAGCAACTAAATCGTATAAAATATTCACGGAATAAAGACAGTCTTTTTTTAAACTAATTGGAAACCCTAAATACTTTTTTATATATGTATGCATATATCATCCTGAGTGAACATAGGAGCGATATGGACCATATAGTATTTTATGTTCACGTACTGGCCACTAATAATAAGTACTGGGTGGCAACAATATGTTCCATTTATTATTTCAATGAATAAATCAGTGTTCAACCAACATGCTTGTGTATCAATACAGATCATAAATGAGATCAACCGAAAACGAATTGTTCTACTCTCAATCGTTGGCTGGCCCATGTCGGCTCACTAAGTGCCTTTACTAAACCAAAACCGCATTTCTGTTGGGTTATTTGTTATGGCGATCCACTCTAATAGAGATATATGGAGACTCATTCTTGAGGAGAAATTGCTTACTATTACCATGAGGGTCAGGCAGTTTGATATAAGAATTTACTTCGAGTTTTCCTTCTTTTTTATAATACTTACGAATAGAATGGCGAGTGGCAATTGACGGCCCACCTCATGGAAAATGGTAACTGTCACCTGTAGACATGAACAACGGAAATTACAGAATACACTATTATGTCCATGGCATATCTCATAGGTTGCCGTTTCTTCTTGATGCGCTTGTATATTATAATTCGTTCCTATAGTCACCTCTTTCGTTCTGGATATAAAAAGGAGTGAATGATGATTGAACATTGTTGAGATCGTCAGTGTTTTAAATTTTGTGGTAACACCATTATAGCCAAAATAGTTTCGAAGAAAGTTTTTAAGGAGTGAAGATGAATGATGATAACGTTGATAATGATAATGACAATATCGTTTGAAATCATCAATAAGTTTGATTAATCAATTAGGTATATCGAACTGAATTATTTCAAAGACGAAAAATACCAACGTTATATAAAAGATTACGGTTAAAGTATATTTTAATATTTAATGAAGCAGTATCACTTATGTAGGCGAAACATGTAGGAAATGTTAAAATGGGAGGCTTATATTCAAGTGAAGTGACGATAGATATGTATCAATACACGAATATATACTCTATTTCCATCCTTATTATATTGGGGGGGGGGGAGGGATTGTTAGCAATAGAGTTTGACAGTCCCATTGCTAGTAATATGCCCTATTAGGTTGACCTCCACGTGGTTCCCCCTGGAAACCATCACGAACAATTCTTGCTGAATTCGTCACGAGGCTAACTAGCCTGCTTCATTCTCACCTATCATCCTTCACCGCCGGTGCCGTATGTCGTATAAAAAAATTACTAGCAATGGGACTGGTAGTCCGCATTACTAACAATTCCTTCCCCCCCCCCCTCGCCTAATAATTACCCATTGTCATGTTTTCGGCTTTTCGGTTTTATTTATTCTTTAATACAAAGTGGAATAAACATTAAAATCATCTTCTATCTTAGGGAAGTCTTATTTCAATATGAAAAAACCCTTCTGATATGTTTAGAGGCGAGGCCTCGCATGCAAAGTTAAAGAACTCACACAGAGGGAAACAGAGTCGTCTAAGTTAATTTAATCGAGTTTAATTTACTTAAAGGATGTATTTCAGATATACATATATAATAATCCTCTAAATACCGTTTTAATCATCGATAATTGAATGAAGACATGCCATTTGTATCTGATCCAAACATTAGTAATTTATATGTGTAATGTATAGTGAAACCAATATAGAATTAAATTTGACTCAGTATGGAATATTAATATTGAACATCAACGTATAGGGGGGAAAGGGATTGTTAGTAATGGAGACTGAGAATCCCATTGCTAGCAATATACCCAACCAGGTCGACCTCCTCGCGATTCTCCCTGAAAACTATCATGGTTAATTCCTGACGAATTCATCATAATGGGCTAACTGGCCTGTTTTCATTCTCATCTATCACCCTTCACTGGTGGGACGCGCAGGCGGGGTCACCATACCATTTTCACCCATCAAAAAAAAAATATCAACGTATATAATATTATATTAACATGCAGGGCCGTAGCTAGACCCAAGTTTAAGGTAGGGCAAAAGAACTTTTTGGTAGGGCAGAAGAAGCAGAAAAAGCGAATCTGTTAAAATTTTCTGGGGCCTTTCATTTTAAGGTCTTCGATAATCCTAGCTAATAACCCAATTAGTATGACTACCCTGGATTTTTAGCCGTGTGGTCCCAGCATAGAATGGGTCACCCTTTTCTTTCCTTTGGGTATCGTAAAAGGCGACTGAGAGAAGGTAACGGTCGAGGGATGGGCAGCAGCGTCTCGCTTAAAACGTCACTAAAGCCTAACTGCGGTTGCCATCTCGCCTACCAAACATGGCAACTACTGGCAAAACCCCAAAGGAGAAACCTATATTCAGCAGCAGTTAATTGCTAATATGATGATGATGATACCTAATGATGAACCTGATGATGAACCTAGATTTACATATACTCGTATGTTTGTGGCCCCTATTGGCTTTTGCAGTACTTCGATTTAGGGTCTAAAAACAATCACATTAGATAGCATACTATTGTATTGCTATAATAACAATTTTGCTACTTAATATATATATATATATATATATATATATATATATATATATATATATATATATATATATATATATATATATATATATATATATATAAATCGAAACAAGTTATCTACTATTATAATTATAACTAAACAATACTACTTACTAATTCACTTAAGCACAAAACTTAATATATTTATTATATACAAGCTGAAATCGAAATTAAGAATCTGTCCATGTTATAGAACATCATCATATCATCACCTTATCAGTCGTCAACTGTCCACTGCTAATGCCTTTCTCTATTAAGGAGTTGTGCCAGTACTTGCCGCGTTTGGCAAGCGGGTTACCAATTGCAGTTAGGCTTTAATGACGTTTTAAGAGCGACATTGTTGCCAATCCCTCAACCATTATGTTTCTTTAGTCATCTCTTACGACTCTTACGGAAAAAGGAAGGAGGTGACCCATTCTATACCGGTACCACACGGCGGGCCATAGAAGTATTACGATAGAGATTTCGTGAATCAAAAATTAAAAACAAAATAACCTATAGCCCTCCAATAGTAATGCAAATAGAAAATTTATTAATAGATCGAACATTTCAATTTGTCACTAATTTCATTTATTACAAAGAACAAAAAAAAAAAAATAGCGGATACCCGCTATTTTTTTTGTTCTTTGTTCTCTTCAATATTCTTTCAATTAATATTACCGTCCTTTGTTGCCTTTATTCCTATTTTTCTTCTATATTCTTTAGGTGAAAAATTATTGTTTTTATCACTTTTTAACACGAATTTCATTTAGTGTGATAATTTTATATAATAATAAGAAAAATAAGAATATTTTTTATTCAAGTAAACTTAATTACGAGCGTTTTTGAATAGTTATTATTTATGATTCTACCTATAAATAAAATTTCTTTACCTCTTTTAAGACGAAGAAAGTAAAGCTGTAATTTTTTTTTGCCTACAGTCGTGGAACACTCCAGACCTCGAGTGTGTTCTCTACCAGAGAAGCCGTACAACCCCCGTCTCTCCGACGACCTATATAGGCTACGGACCTTCTCCATCACCACCAAGGGCGGCGTCGTCAACTGCGGAGACTCCATCTGCAACCGCAGAAGTCGTTCCAATACCTCAGTCAATTCTACTAATAGCAGGTATTTACTAATCTATCTTTATATATATATATATATATATTTATATATATATATATATATATATATATAAATAAATATATATATATATATATATATATATATATATATATATATATATATATATATATATATATATATATATATATATATATATATATATATATATATATATATAATATTTGCATTACTTACAGCACACAAATAACAACAGACATTCACAAAAAAAAGAGATTAAAGAACACATGTATAAAAAGAAAAAAGGAAAATACATATATGAAATAACATAATTTTCCTGTCGTGCATGTGTCTTAGCAACACAAAATGGTCACAACTCAATTTATTGCTTTGCCCTCAAAAGAGCAAAACATTGATATTCTGTTATGGCCAAAAGTGAATAAGCTAATACAATAAAATAAAAAATATAAATTATTTATATAATATACAAGGATGCGACAGTTCATCTAGCAGGTAAATGGAATGATAAGGTAATTTGATGAAATATCAATTTCTTTTCGATTAAAAATTTTTTAAAATTACGTTTGAAGCTGAACTTAGTGGCGATTAATCGAATAAGTAGGTGGTATATTGTTCTAACATTTTGTGGCTTGATATCGAAAGCTACCATTAATAGCTACTGTTTTATGGGGATGATGAATTAGACGACAACGTATCGCTCTAGTATTGTGATTATGTAATCTGGTGAATTTCGAGTCTACAAACAGGATTCCGCCATGATTACTATATCATCGGCAAAACGAAGGTGAGTGATGTATTCGCCACTGATGTTTATACCATATCTTTTCGAATTCAGGAGTTTGAAAACATTTCCCAATGTAGCTCTGATAAGTTTTGAGTACGTGACGTCATCCCATATATATTGCAGTGTAAAAACATTATTAAGCGAAACATCTACGATACTTCTCCAATATCCTGATTACTAAAACGGATTTGCCAAGATTACTGGTTGATTAAAACCTCGCGTGACTGTCAAATCCCCTGACCTGACCTACTTGTACAATCCTTCGTGTTGATTATTTTGTCTTGGAAATGATGTCTTTGAATGTGACTATATATTAGCATAAAAATAGGGGAAACACGATCTTTTGACTGAATTAACTGGGTCGACGTACTATAATCTTTTGTTGTAAATTCATCCTACTTTTTATTAGAATTAGTAAAGTTCTAGTAGATAAATTAGATAATAACAAATGAAGAATACACTCCTTTTCCATACATATTTTAAAATATTTCATTTCATATAAACCTTGTCCTAACAATTACAAACACAACCAAAACGTTTAGCCAAATAGGCGCAGTTATTTTGAAGTAATGTGCTTACATTCGCCATTTACATGTTATGTAAGCGCATCCAATTTATTTTTACTTATATAAGTGTAAAAGATCGTGAACATGTTAGGAGGATTTTTAATTAACTGGATATCGCGGAATCACTCGCTTGAATCAGTATTTAAAATATCCTATATACTAAGTAAGGATGTAACTTTTTTATACTACTATGATAGCAAACAAGCTTACGGCCTATCTGGTGGTAATCGGGTTTCCTGTAGCCTATAGGTCAGGAATATCACGTGTGTATTGCCAACCCTCAAGAAACCTTAATACGTTCTTTTTGAAGAACTCCATGCTGTAGTCTCTAGGGAAAGACTCATTATTCCTGACCTGAGTGTTCGTGGGAGGAAGCTCCTCTAAAACTTATCCGTATATCAAATTCAATTTGAATCCAATGAATAGTTTTTCTGTGAAAGAGTACTAAACATCCATCCTTATAAACTTTCACATTTATAATATTCATAGGATTTATTTTTTTCTTGATGTAATAGCGTCATTTGAGTTTTTCCCACCCGACGTCTGTGCTTCCATGGGTTGTATTGTCGTTTCAAAGATAGGCATAGCAGTGAAATCCATTCAATTCATGTGTAAATCACTTTTCATCAGATGGGCTATCTACTTACTTACTGTTCTAGGCTGTATATATATTTTTTAATATAGTTAGGTCCTGGATGCTATTTTCATTCAAATTCGTTCACGCCTTATTTAACTGACATTCATTTATCTCTAAAAACATTTTCTTTTTATTTAGATTTTTAAAATAAATTGTATCCCGTGCATGGCCGTAGCTAGACCCAAGTTTAATGTAGGGCAATATAACTTTTTGGTAGGGCAAAAGCTATAATTAGACTTCGACAACATGAATCTATCTACGAGTAATTTTCTTGGGGCCTTTCATTTTAAGGTCTGCCCGCCCATGATTCCGTGGCTTTGCCCGCCTGAGTTATGACGAAAAGTATAATTTTGATCTAGGATATGAGCTATCAGTGTACCAAATTTCGTTCAAATGATGATGGATAGTAAAGGGGATCAGAGTGATTGTTTCCTGCTTACCTTGAGCGCGTGGGGCGAATAAGTGGATTATTTTATTGTTAATTCTCACTCTTAGCTTAGTGGGATATCCCTCCTTAGCGGCCACTTATGTTTACTTATGTTTTTTTCGACGATCATAGAATACAACCCTATGAGCTACTAATATTATTAATTTTAATGATAAATACGATAAATCATTTGATATTTTCTTTGTTAACAAAAACATATTACCATTATAAAAGATACCAAGAAATATAAAACAATGTAGGTTTTTATATGAACAAATAAGTAATAAGTAAAAATTTAATTATGTAGTTTATATAAGATTTATTAATGTGATTGCTGTGCCCTTTCAGGGTTCATGTTTGATTCTATACTTTTAGTAAATTAAGACCAATTTTGTTACAACATGTAATAGCAATAAATAAATGAATAAATGAAAGTATACATTTGTCCTTTTAAATCTTTCGAAGGAATTTTTAAAATTCTTTTTTTTTGTAATGTTTTTTATAGCGTACTTTGAAAAATATTATAATCATGTCGGCAACCCTGGGGGTACCGTGGGCATAATTAGTGTATTCTGTAAAGTCCATGACGCGGCTTATGTCTATAGACAAACATTACCACTTTCCATCAGATGGGCTGTCAATTTGTTTGCTATTTTAAGTAACTTAAAACGCCGGCAACACACAAGCAACTCCTCTCGTGTTGCTGATGTTCAAGGGCGATGTTAGCCACTTTCCATTAGGTACGCCGTCTGCGCGTTTGCCCTCCTGACAATAAATAAAAATATAGTAGCTCCTAAGCTTTGCGCCGTATTATGTATTACTAGGCATTGTTAAGTTTTAACTGTACAATTTTTATCCTCGAACATTCTATAGATGTTTTAGCTTCTTAAAAGTTCATTATAAAAGATTAGTCTATAGGATAAGTCTGCTGTTGTAAGTATATTTATGTACATCTTTTTAAAGTGTACAATAAAGATTTTACAATATAAATTAATATGATGCGTCTAGCTGTCAACTTAGTTCGGTATTTAATAAAGCAAATTGTAAGCAAGTTCGTAAATCGAGTTTTGATTCTGAAAATTCTATTTCTTATAGTATTTTAGATGTAATGGATAAAATTTTCCAATAATATCTAATTAAATCGCCGTTTAAATTGGTCCAGCTTTTCAATTTCGCCATAAAGAGTTTTTTTCATTTCAAAAACGTTTATATAATGAAATTGTGGGAGCGTAATTCAGAGTATTTCGACTTTTGCATTTGTTGGAAATTCTACGTATTAAGTATTATAATTATAATTATATTTGCCGTGTGGTCCCGGCATAGAATAGGGTCAACCCTTCTTTCCCTGTGTTTTTCCGTGTCTTAAGAGGCGACTAAAGGAACTTAATGGTCGAGGGAAGGGCAGCAGTTGATGTTTTAAGAGAGGCTCTTAAAACATCACCAAAGTCGCATGACGGTTGCCAACCTGCCTGCCAAGCGTGAAAACTACTAGCAAAAACCTCTTTACGGGTGAATATATTCAGCAGTGGACATAACAGCTGCTATGGAGTATTATAAACGTAAAAAGTTGTAAAGATCTTTATATGGTATGTTACTAGCGACTCGCCCTGGCTTCGCACGGCTGCACATTACATCATATCACATTAGAAACTTCTGAAATAATCAATACGTTATGTATGTGTTATGTATGTACAAACGTGACAATACATTATGCCGTGTATAGTATAATTAAATTGTGTCCTACAAAAAAACCGACTTTAGTTATGGCAATAAGAGATTTTGATTAAAAAAAACCACTGAACCTATTTTAATAAAATTTTTATAGGACGAATCTGTAAGTATAGTTTTTCAGATAAGTATATAATTTTCCAAATCGGTTTACAGCTGATGGAATTATGAGATATATACATACAATAAAAACACATACAAACGATTTGAGAACGTCCTTTTTTTTGAAGTAGGTTGAAAATAGATTTTAAACGAGGCGCCACGAGATTTCGAGCTCTGTACTCGTATTTGTCATAAAAGGTTATCACGTATTCATTAGGTGTCAAGGGACGGGGTCAACTAATTTCTATGTAATTACAGGTGTCCCATTTGCGGCTGCCCCAAGATTAATTAATAAGATATAATTAAACCGCGCCGCGGATAAAAGCATTTGTCACTGGGTGTTCAGAGGATATAATTAAGAAAATATTAATGTCTACTCATTATACTTACGTACTTTGTAGTGGGCGCTTTAATTTGGTTAAATTAGATATAGTAAATAGTGGAGAATAAAATTTGTTACTGAGAATAAATTAATTGCTTGTTTAATTACTTTATTGCGTACAAAGTGTAAATGGTACGTGTTAATTATATTGATGTATAAATAGTCTAGATATATAATTAGATATTGAAAAATAACACAAAAAAATAACATGAAATATCTTTTATTTATTTATTTATTCTTTATTGTACATAAAAAAATTACAAAGATATAATATATATAAAATAAAGATGTACAACAGGCGAGCTTAACTCTGTAAGAGTTCTCTTCCAGCAAACCCTGAGTGGAAAGGAGCATTAATTACCAATCATTTCCGTCCTGAGTTAATAAAAAAATATCCT